CTCCGCCCGTCCTACCTTTCAGAAAGTGGTTGATTTTCTGTTTCTAGAGTTGCTGTTCTTCTTCTCTTCGATCTCCCGTTGGATTTGTAGGTGTTTGCAATCTTTAGATAAGCTATCTAGCTGATCTCCCGCTACCTGAAGTAGTCTCAGCCTGCTACTTCTCCACCATCTTGACTCCTCCCCCATGTAAATAATTTTCTGTCCACTTCCTTTGCATGGCTTACTTTTTCTAAAACAGCACTGCATTTTTGCTAACAAAAATAATACGTTGTTCTGCTCTCAATTAAGGTTTTCAAAAAAATTTTAAATATCCCTCTTCTAGATGAGATTCACAGAGAAGTGCCCATATTTTATCCTTTATGCTAATGCTTACAGTAAAAGTTATGTTTTCTTCAGTTGGAATAGTATATTCAATTCATTTATTTACAAGATGATGATTTTTCTTTTTCTGCATCCTTCAAGCAATTTATAAAAAAGAGATTTCTCTTTGTGATAATTTCAGTATTCCCCAAAATACTGCATACCACCAGTCGCTATGCCATATATCAGCTTCAAAGTAGAGTATTTTCATTTAAAAATTATTTATTCAAAATTAAATGTATTGAATAAAAATTTTAAAAAATAATTATTTCATGATGAATAAGAAATATGTTAATTTTTTTCTTGGAGTGAAAAAAAGGTACACATATATTAGATCTTTCTTCATTAGCTTACCAGAAAGTGGTCATACCCTAAAAACCATTAAATTTACATTTTATTTTGATTTTGCATAGAGAATGATGAAATTAAGGAGATAATAAGATGAGGTTCATTTTTTAAACCATTTTAAAGATTTTGGGGACACCTAGGTGACTCAGTGGGTTAAGCTTCTGCCTTCAGCTCAGGTCATGATCCCAGGATCCTGGGATCAAGCTCTGCATTGGGCTCTCTGCTCAGCAGGGAGCCTGCTTCTCCCTCTCTCTCTGCCTGCCTCTCTGCCTACTTGTGATCTCTCTCTCCGTCAAATAAATGAAATCTTTAAAATTCTTTTTAAAAGATTTTATTTATTTATTTGAGTGAGAGCGCAAGAGAGACAGAGCACAAGTGGAGGGTAGGGGCAGAGGGAGAAGGAGAAGCAATATCCCCAATGAGCAGGGAGCCCCACATGGGGCTCTATTCCAGGACCCTGGGATCATGACCTGAGCCAAAAGCAGATGCTTTTGGCTGCGCCCTCTCTCGCCCGCCCGCCCTCCGCCGCCCTCCACCCGCCCGGGGTCTCTTTACCCCTTCCTCCTCCTCCTCCTCCACCCCCCCTTCCTCCTCCTCCTCCTCCACCCCCCCTTCCTCCTCCTCCATCCCCCCTTCCTCCTCCTCCACCCCCCCTTCCTCCTCCGCCCGCCCGCAGGGCCCCCCTCGCCTTCCCGGCCACCCCTATTGTTCCGCCCCCGGCCTCCCGCCCTTCCCCTTCCCGCCCGCTCCCCTTTTCCCCTCAGTCGCCTCGCGCCTGCAGTTTTTGGCTTTCACCCCCACCAGTGACCAAAGACTTGACCACTCAAAGTCCAGCTCCCCAGAACACTGCTCGACATGGACACCGGTGTGATTGAAGGTGGATTAAATGTCACTCTCACCATCCGGCTACTTATGCATGGAAAGGAAGTTGGCAGTATCATCAGAAAGAAAGGAGAATCAGTTAAGAAGATGCGTGAGGAGAGTGGTGCACGTATCAACATCTCAGAAGGGAATTGTCCTGAGAGAATTATCACTTTGGCTGGACCCACTAACGCGATCTTCAAAGCCTTTGCTATGATCGTTGACAAACTGGAAGAGGATATCAGCAGCTCTATGACCAATAGCACAGCTGCCAGTAGACCCCCAGTTACCCTGAGGCTGGTGGTCCCCGCTAGTCAGTGTGGCTCTCTCATTGGGAAAGGTGGTTGCAAGATCAAGGAAATATGAGAGAGTACAGGGGCTCAGGTCCAGGTGGCGGGGGATATGCTCCCCAACTCAACTGAGCGGGCCATCACTATTGCTGGCATTCCGCAATCCATCATTGAGTGTGTGAAACAGATCTGCGTGGTCATGTTGGAGTCCCCCCCGAAGGGCGTGACCATCCCGAACCCGCCCAAGCCGTCCAGTTCTCCAGTCATCTTTGCAGGTGGTCAGGACAGGTACAGCACAGGCAGCGACAGTGCGAGCTTTCCCCACACCACCCCGTCCATGTGCCTCAACCCTGACCTGGAGGGACCACCTCTAGAGGCCTATACCGTTCAAGGACAGTATGCCATTCCACAGCCAGATTTGACCAAGCTGCACCAGTTGGCAATGCAACAGTCTCATTTTCCCATGACGCATGGCAACACCGGATTCAGTGGCATTGAATCCAGCTCTCCAGAGGTGAAAGGCTATTGGGGTTTGGATGCATCTGCTCAGACTACTTCTCATGAACTCACCATTCCAAATGATTTGATTGGCTGCATAATCAGGCGTCAAGGCGCCAAAATCAATGAGATCCGTCAGATGTCTGGGGCGCAGATCAAAATTGCGAACCCAGTGGAAGGATCTACTGATAGGCAGGTTACCATCACTGGATCTGCTGCCAGCATTAGCCTGGCTCAATACCTAATCAATGTCAGGCTTTCCTCGGAGACGGGTGGCATGGGGAGCAGCTAGAACAATGCAGATTCATCCATAATCCCTTTCTGCTGTTCACCACCACCCATGATCCATCTGTGTAGTTTCTGAACAGTCAGCAATTCCAGGTTTTAAATAGTTTGTAAATTTTCAGTTTCTACACACTTTATTATCCACTCGTGATTTTTTAATTAAAGCGTTTTAATTCCTTTCTCTGTTCAGCTGCTCAGTTGACTGAGCCACCCAGGTATCCTGGAGTTAATTTTTTAAATGACTCTTTTAGGTAAGTCAAAAGCCTGTAACACTAATAGCATTCAAGAATCAATGAACTAAAATGCAATTTTGATACAGTTGTAGAGAATGGATCTGCTTGAGTTTCTTCATTCTGTATTTCCTTATAAATCTCAACATAAGACCTTGATATCATTTTACAAAATGGGAAACACCCACACAATAGATAACATATGAAACTCAATATTTTAAAATTACAATATGGAATGAACACTCTCTAACCAAACCCTCATTTGACAGAAAACTTAGGAAATACAGTTTTTGTTTTTGAATGGCAATTATAAATCAAATGTTAGTTCTTTGAGCCTGTACCCTGGTCCAAGATTTAATCTTGATTTTATAATTTAAATAAAATCAGTTCAGGGACATTTTTAAAATCAGTATGTCAATTCATCCTCTGTGTCTTTAAATTTAAGTTTACATATCAAATATTATTGGAATATACAGTTTACATTGAGGAATAAGTACATTTGATACTACTCATTGCCCTCTTTATTTCTACCAAATAATTCATTGTTTTCCAGGATGTATTCACTTTCTAAGAAATGCTAACGTAAACATAATGAGTATAACCAAAACAAATCTGAAGCTAAAATGAATAATAACCAAAGATTACACCACACTTGAGATCACTTTGTTTCCATCCTGATATGTAACCAGTCCAGGCATAGTCTATGAATAGATGGTTCACCATACTCTCACCTATGGCATTTTGCATTCATTCTTCAGCACACAGATAACCTTAGCTTTGCAAAATATATCATCATCATCTTCATCATTACCATCCTGTAAATGTGTCAACATCAATGGGAACTTGGAAAATAAAACAGAACCTGAATGGAACACTGTCTTTATAATGAAAGATTGCTTTCACTGCTATCTCAACTCTTGAAATTGTTAAAAACAAAACAAAACAGAGAAAACCTCTACTTGACTATTAGAATTATACAAAGAAATCCAGAATGTAATATAACACTAGCCTACAAGCTTTAAAGTTAATAAATTCGAGTACAGGCTATGAGATCCCAAGAAAAATTAGCATAAATAAGATACAAACTTGTCTCTTTTAATTATGGTTCAGATTGGTCATATGTTTAAGTCCCTTAGATCTTTCTTTTCTTTTCTTTTTTTTAAGATTTTATTTATTTATTTGACAGATAGCGATCACAACTAGGCAGAGAGGCAGGCAAAGAGAGAGAGATGGGGGGAAGCAGGCTCTCCACAGAGCAGAGAGCCCAATGTGGGTCTTGATCCCAGGACTGTGGGATCATGACCTGAGCCGAAGGCAGAGGCTTTAACCCACTGAGACCCAGGTGTCTCCCTTAGATCTTTCAACATTTACAATTCTTTCTTCCTTCATCCTTTTGTTATTCTCTCCTTCCTTTCTTTCCTCCCTTTCTCTTCCTCCCTTCTTTCCTCCTCTCTCTTTCCCTCCTTCTTTCTTTCTTCTCCTAAACCTAAAATAAAAGAGGTAGGACTCTAAATATCATAACCTACATAATTTAATTTATAACAAAGTTTTCAAAGAGGTAAAGCAAAATGTTATAGAAGTCTGAAGAGAGATTATCCATGGAAGAGATAACTGGGTAGGGATAGGAGGGAATATTCTGGTATGCTGGACGTATCCCCTGTCCTACTTATATGCATAATGTGAAGATAGATATGAAAAAAATAGAAAATTAAACAGAAGTGTGTTGAAATGAGCAAAAAATGGAAGAATTTGTCAGTAACAGACCTACTAATTAGTACAAGGTGTTCTTCAGTTAGAGGAAGAGTAATCCCAAATTTAAGTACAGAGATGTGGGAAGTAATGAGAGTGTAATAAAAATGATAAATTGGGTAAGTCTAAATTAATATTGATTTAATAAAGAGATGTCAATAATTTCTGTGACATAACAATTATTACGTAGAGCAGAGGATCATAGGGAAAGGGAGGGAAAACTGAATGGGAAGAAATCAGAGAGGGAGACAAACCTGGAGAGACTATCGACTCTGGGAAACAAACTCAGAGTTCCTGAGGGGGAGGTGGATGGGGAGGTTGGGGTTACTGGGGGATGGGCATTGAAGAGGACACGTGATGTGATGAGCCCTGGATGGTATATACAACTGATGAGTTGTTGAGCTACATCTGAAACTAATGATGTACTAAATGTTGGCTAATTGATTTTAAATTTAAAAAATAATAATAAATAAAAACAAGACCTGAGCTAAAAAAAGGTATTATAAAATTCATGGATACTATAAATTTAGATAATATGTTCAAGTATATTGTGCAAATAGTGGTAAAAATATCAATATATATCAAGCATTATGGTCAAGGATAAAAATAGAAATTTTCAGGATTTCCAGTAAGAAAATAGTAAAAATATGTATAACTATTATGGTTATAGATAAGGAAATGGAATAATAACATACATCATGTACATAGCAAATGGTAAAGAAATAGTAAGATATTAGATTTTAAATCCAAATATATCAGCAATCACATTAAATATGAATGATATAAATACTCCAATTAAAAATAGATGGTCAAATTGCATTGAAAAACTAATGTTGTTTGAAAGGAAAAAAATGCCTTATATATAAGGATGTAGAAAGTGCAGGTAAATCAGTCATAGAGATCTTATTTTTTAACCTAGAAATGTTAGTGCATTTTTTCTTTTTTCTTTTTTTTTTGCTGAGAAATAGTTTTAGTTTCCATATCATATTAAGTCTATCTCAAAACCAGAAGATGAAAATTTCAATTTCAGTGATAGCAGTAATAGATTCTTAATCCATCCTTTGGTGGAATTTAACTTTTGGAAAGTATTTCTTTACACAGAATTGCAGCAATTGGATTTTTTTTTTAATAAACTCCATGATATCCCATTGAGTGCTTTCTCTGATGAATGAAGAAAATCATCCAGCATTATGTTATCTGCACTATAGTTTGGCTTTCTAAGATATCCTCATATTTTATTTTCACATTTAAAAAATAACAAGTCACTTCTGGCTCAAAGTGATAGGATTAGGCTTTTTGAGGCCAGATTTAATTTTTAAATTCAAGCCAATTTAATTCTGAGTAATATGTCATAACAAGTCAGTTCAAATCAGAAAATGATATCTACAGGTTTTGTCACACTTTGGAGAAAATAAGAATTATCTCTAATCTAGGTGCTATTTGGGAAACTGCTCAGTGTATTAAAAAACAAAAACAAAACTTTGATGTTATGATTACTTTTCAAGTATATCAATAGCCCCCCCCACACACACACACACCTTAAAGTGGCAAAAGCTAGGGCAAAATGTTCTGCTTTTCTGAATTAGATTAAAACTCTTAATGTCCAATCAATATAATTCAACAGACTGGAGAAAATAAAAGGAGATTATGGTGACTTATGGCCACATTTTCCTCCCCCCAAATACCATGCATGATCACAAAACCAGTACATTTTATAATAGCTGAAATATATTGAGATTTTTTGGAATGGATATTAAACTATGAATGTCTAATTCCAAAATGTGTGCTTGCTCCCACCTACTGCCATTCCCCCTTCACTTCCCCCAATACAGACTTTTTGAAGAAGGGCAAAATAAGTAAATTTGACTCATTAGAAAAAGTGTCCCTCATTGTTAATAGAGTATTTTTAGATACATTATAAGTCATGTTGCATAATGAAAAGTAAAAGACTCAGGCAGGTATATATTTAAATCTCAGAGATGCCATTTATACATTCCGAAAGTTAGGAAATTTTCAAGACTCTGATTTCCTCATCTGCATTATGGTTATATTAATTTCTTCCCCATATAGCAATTGTGAAAATTAAACCATAGGGCATCTATGAAGAACCGTGAATGGGAAGGTCCACAGTGAACATTACTTCCCTTACCTGCTTCTCTTATAGTTTTTCCTCCTTTTACCCAAACACGGGTCTCTCACATAAATTCTTTACATTTAAAAAAAAGAAAAACAAAAATATTTTTCTTGGCTTTTATTTGAAATTTGAATTACTCCTATTCTTTCATGATTTCTTCTCTAGATTTACAATCACATGGGTACCTGTGACTCAGTATTTTTACCTTGCTTCTCTCAGAACTATCGTTTGAGACTAAGCCTATACACAAATTTAACATGAAGTAATTATATAATTTTATCATCTGATTACTCCTTTAATATACACTGTACTAATTATTTATCAAAATAAAAAAATGAACATGTGGACTTTTGATAGGATATATCTAATTTCCAAATTCATTATTGTTAAAACAAAATGGACAGTGATGACAATGAAAGGAGATAATAACTTCATAGTTTTTTCAGGTTCTTGGAACTGTTATTAAGGAAATTTCTGTTATTTCTATATTCCACAGAAGAAATGGAAAATGGCCAACATAAAAAAATCTTGAAATCTACATTGCAGTTTATATTATGATAAAATAATCATGTTGAACTCAGTCTACCAGTTTCCATTCTAGTGTTTAATGAAAAATACAAATCCTCTGGCCTCTACCATTTTAATCAAACCCATATTCCTTGAGTTCAATTATCTCTTTTTCTCTGAAAGTGGATAACAATAATGGAACACCATCTTTTTTAAGGAAGCTAGTAAATTACTGGAAAAGTAGAACATTGTGAACTTAAAATGTTTTTAAGTGCAAGATTGAGTCAGAAAACAATAGATCCCTGATGAATTCCATTTCTAAAGTTTCTTTTAAATTACTCATATTATTAAGTTATGTCTGCTTAGTATTTTGAAAAAGAGAGATTTTTGGCCTGCAAAAGTCTTAAGTTTTGGAAAACAAAATGTAATCATCCCTCTAGGTCTTCAACAATTACTTTTATCTGAGGCACACATTATGTCTCTGTAATACAAGTATTCATTTTCTTGATTCAAAACCTCCTTGATTGCAAGTGCCAGAGTTTTGTTTGTGGTGGTTCAATAGTTGGA